ACATGTCTCTCATGAAACAATACGTAAATATCTAAGGAATATGGGAAAACTCCTTAAAGAAGATGTTTGGGTGACTCACGAACTCTCCGATGATTATCGTTTCCAACTACTGAACGTTGCTTCGTCTCTTCTGGCACGTAATGCGAGTGAACCATTTTTGGACAGAATTGTCACCGGTGATGAAAAATGGATTCTCTATGCGAATATTAAACGCCAAAAACAATGGCTCAGTCCTAGACAAAAACCACATCTGATCCCCAAACCTAGACTCCATCCGCAGAAAGTGATGCTTTGCATTTGGTGGGACATCAAACGAGTAATCCATTTCGAACTACTGAATCCACAGCGAAATGTCAATGTAGAGATCTATAGTCAGCAACTGGAACGTTTAAATCAAGCCCTTAGTCAGAAACGCCCTTCACTCGTCAATAAGAAAAGTGTTCTTCTCCACGACAATGCACGCAACACAAGATTATGGAGTTGGGTTGGGAAGTTCTTCCCCACCCACCATATTCTTCAGATATTGCACCACCAGATTACCATTTTTTTTCGTTGCTGCAACACCATCTTAATGGGAAATCGTATGCAAACATGGAAGGTGTTAAAGAGGATATCGACATGTTTTTTGCTTCAAAGTCAAGCGATTTCTTTAATCAGGGCATTAACAACCCGATTGTAAGATGAAAAGATAAGAATGGAGACTATTTCAGTTAATAAATGTTTTGTTTTGATATATAAATTGTTCGGTTTTTTAATCTAAAAAAAAGTGACATTAATTTCTTGACGACCTAATGTTAATAATAAAAAATAAATTATTATTTTTGAATAGCAGTTTAAGATTTTATTAGTATTCTTTTGGAGTAAATGAGCTAATTATTTTGAAAATAGTTAAAAAGTGGAACGTGCTTTGACCGCTTTACATAATTTAGTTTATTTAGAAATAAATTACTTTCTATTTGAAAGAATGTGTATTTAATCACATAATTTAAGAAGGTGGTTGGCGAAAACCGAACAGACGTTTGGCTTAAACAAATAGTTTGAAACCTTTGGAGGAACAAATAAATATAATCAAAATACAGCTGATAATTTGCTATAGAAGAAACAAGTCACATGTTTATATCGAATCACAATAACAAATAGAAATGGTTTCACTTATTAGTTTGTTCAAAAACGCATTAGAAGGAAATAAAATACATGAATGTTCATTAATACCGCATTCATAGAATACCATATCAATCTCCTAACACTATAAAAGTCTTTTCAAAACAACAAATGGTGAAAATATTCTTACTGTTTGAGGTCGTGATATTAACTTTACCAGCTCTATTCGCTGTTCGTCACTCCCCTCCATAATAGCTGTACTGTTCTATTGGAGAGAAAATTAGAGTTAATACACACAATTATATATAATATCTTCATCAATGCAGGCACAGTCAATTTGAACGATCACGTGCTCTCTTTGTACTCGTTCCAAGTTTTTATAGATTTGATACTACAAACTTTTAATATATTGTGTATATCTTCAAGAAATCTGGCAGCCTTTCAGTAAACATTGTGTGTTTTACATACAAAGAATCATATTTTTAGTGAAGTATTTTTAATAAACTAAAAAAAAAAAAAAAGATTTTCCCATGAATATAATGAGTATTTGTTTTGAATAGTTCGTGTACAAAGTGATTTTCATGTTAAGATTAAAAATACTTTTCTTCATCTCAGAAATCTCAAATTTCATTTGTGTAATCTCTAAAACCTCCTAAATACATCCCAATTATTTGTTTTCAGTAAAACTTTATATTTTATCTGTTATTTTCTCCACCCTAACTCTATACAAGGTTGGTCAATTTGACCGACCTCGACCTCGTAAACACTCCAAAAAAATCTAAATAAATCTAAATTACCTTCTTTTTCTTTCTAGAATGCCTTCAAATGTAACACGAAACAACATTCGTTTATCTTAAGTAGCTTTAAACTCGTAACAGTATACATCTATTTATAATTAAATTTTATTGTTTTATTGCTCTTTGAACCGTGTATAACTACTATTCGCGCCATTATAAGTTGTAAATCAATTAGGGAACGTGCACTTCATCTTACTATATCGAATTACGTTACCCACGAGCTACTTCGAGCTGCTTGTGTGCGTGCATCGTGAAATACTTTTATTATATTATATTATTATTTATTTTACTTAATCTAACCTTAACTAACCTAAATAGATCCCTATTTTTACATTTTAGTTACTTTTATAATAATATATAAAGAATAAACATGAAAAACTAGAAATAAAGTACTTACCCGTGTCTTCTTTTTTGTGCTGTTTACGACACTTAACCCTATTTTTTTACTAATGGTAGTAATGCACAGAATACATTTTATTTAATTAAATAATGCACCAAAGAACATGCAAGAAGCAGACAATTTCCTCTAACAATCACAAGTTTTATGGCTTTCTAACTATGCGACAAGAGTCTTTGCAAATTCATGGAAGCTAGTCCTTATTTTTCCCGTGGGAACGAAGTTTGTATTACAAGTGAAATTGGCAATTCTCTGTTCAAACGACAATGTAATATAACATGTCATTTGATAGATGAAAACCCTGGCTTTCTATTGGTTACAGATAATATGAATTAAACTCAAGAGAGAATTGTTGACAAATCCTGAAAGAGAGAATGTGACAGGAAGGTTTGATAAGAGGGGTCTGATTTTCTATTTGATGACCCAGTGCCACAGCGGTATGTCTGTGGACTTACAACGTTAGAAACCGGGTTTTGATACCAGTGGTGGGCAGAGTACAGATAGCCCATTGTGTAGCTTTGTGCTTAACTACAAACAAACATTGTATTTGATGGCTCTGTAACCAAACAAAATTGAAAGCTATAAAAAGTAGTGATGATTTTATAGGGAGTAATTTACGTTGAATTTCGTACTTATTGGTGGAGTGGTGAATAAAATAGAGAAGATGGGATGCCTACAGAAAAGTTTTCACCTTTCTCACACTAGAGGAACATCAGGATGTTTTAAAAATATTGTTTTATAAAAACTTAAAACTTATACACTATTAAAATATGGATCATTAGCTACGATTTTATGCTATACTAATTGGTATAACATATACAAAAAGTAGTTTAATAAAATTTTGAATGTAAACCACTAAAACCTCTTGACATTTTACATTAAATGATGCCTGAGTAAATAGGGATATTATGCAACAATCGCTATACATAAGAAAATTCAAATTCAGCTATTTTCTTCTACTCATTCCCAAAGTTCATAAACTTATCACCATTATTCACTTTGCAATATTCAGATTATAATACAACCGTAATGTGTAGAATGGTCGAACGTTGCTGGAAAACGAGTTCACTTCAAAGTCAACTTTCATACCTTTTATGTACAATTATTTGAATAAAAAACGTGTTTACTTATCATTTCTCCTGTATTTGAAGTATTCACTGGACATAAGGTTATTGAATCATATTTCAATCTTCTTAGTGGTTTCTTGACTTCAAAGAAATGCCTTGTAAATATTTTCAGCATTAAACCACTTCTAGTAACACGAATTTTGATTATATTATTAAGATTGAATGGGGTTTGATTCTGTAACACAACATTTTATTTAGGTTAGACGTAACTTTTAAGCATAACAGCGGGAATCTTGTTAAAATAAGTTATTATATGTAAAGATTCACAGGATATGTTACAGTCACAATCTGAATGGCATAACATTTGCCTCAATTCTTCACTTTTGACGCACAGAAAAAAATGTTTTAATGTCGAGGAAAGACATTTTATTATCCATTCAGGTGGTACATATAAATAGACTTTTATTTAATAATGTAAGAAATATCTGTGGAAGTATGCGAGACTTTACTTAAATTTCCTAAAAGGCAGATGTACTAAATCAGCTGCGTGAGTAGCGATAAGGTTTCCAAGACAACCATTAATACTCACTGTAGTAAAGAACCACTGAGTGATTATAGGAGTGCCTTCATCAACTCGAGACAATGAAGAAAAAACATCAACTTGGAGCCCTCTTTCGTGAAACTGAAATACAGAAATCCCTCTACACTTATTTGGTGGTAAACAACCAAACTTAAATCACACTTTAACTATCTATATCACCATTTCTTAAAAACTTTAAGAACAAATTATAGACAAGAATGCAACATAATAAACAATACAAAAAAGTTGAATCAATATTTCTGCAACATTTCTTACAACAAATTTACAGAAAGTTAAACATGAATAATAAAATAATTCCATTCCTAGGTTCTTTAGAACGTCGATATAACTTGTACCTAATTTTTACTGGCATTTTTTACAGGTTTTGTAAAGTTTTTATTTGAAATGTTATCCAGAGATTATTGTAGACCTGTTAGAAATATTTAAAGTGACGGATCCTGAAATTCTTTTGAAATTAAACGAGTTGAATTAAAATAGTAAGCCATCAGAACTATTTGTAAGAAAATTTATATTTCTCCGTTTATCAGTATGTTATGAAACTACTTGTGTCCTCACACTTTGCCAATTTAGACAACTATGTCCTTCTTGTTGAGGGACAACAATTCCTTTGGATTGGATTATAATATAACTATATGTAGGAATATTTATATTTCTCGTGTTTATTAGTTATGAAACTACTTGGGCCCTCATACCTTGCCATTGTAGACAATGTCCTTCCTGTTGAGGGACAAGAATTCCTTTGGATTAGACATTAAAATATGGTTCTGAGCCGTAGAAACATCGGGAAACCAAGTTTGGATGTCAGAAATGTTGCATGTCTCCTCGTCCATGTGAAGGTTGTACTGAACACCTGTAAATATTAACACAAAATTCATTGGGTTTTGGAGATAGAAGTAATACGTACAAATTATCTTCTTCCATTTCATCTTTGCTTCTCACTTTTACTTAATGTATGCAACCTATAAAATGTGTATATTTCTTTAGTAAGCATTAATCTTAGGTTTTGAGGTCCCAATAACGTTTATTTCCCATATTGTTAGTGTAATGCGTATTAAATTACACACAAAATATATGATTTTATCCAAACTCATGATATATCGATAGCCCTTTGAAACTGCATTAGTGATACATATTCCAAATGATTCACTTATTTTATCACAATGTCCACCAGTGGCTCCGCGGTAAGTCTGAGGGCTTATAACGTAAAAAATCAGGTTTCGATACCCGTGATGGGTATAGCACAGATAGCTCATATTGTAGCTTTAAAGTAATAAATAGCAAACAATTTCATCATCATCACATTATGTAAAACGGTTTTACCACCGTGTTAAAATAGGGAGGAGCAATACATCTCAGTTTCCGATGGTACAGATGTCCTCGTGTACAAGCGTACGTTCGTAAGTCTTCATGATATTTATTCAAGTAGTTTCAAAAACTGTATGCTTGTATCTTTACCGCGTAGTCTAATTTTTACATTTCATGTTAAGTGTTTAACAAACTGCGTTGGTCTGAATTTGTTTGTTTGTTTCAAACACACAAAGCTGCACAATGTTCTGCATGCAAAACATGAGTTGAAAATGATTAGTGATATAATTTCTGAAACGCACCACTGAGCCACTAGAAGTCGCTTCGGTCTAAGACAATCTCTAAAATATAAAGAATATCCATCTCTCTGTACATATTTGGGATTAGATAACTTTGAAAGTCGAGAGTCTGAAGTTGAAAACATCGAACATGAAAATAATGGAAATGACAAATGGGTTTTTTGTTGTTGCTAGCGTAAAGCTACCCAATAGGCTATATGTACTGTGCCCATCGAAATAATCTAAACCAGAAGTTTAAGCGCCATAACCCTTCCCACGTAATGCTGAGTCACCGGGATGTGACAACAAATAGGAAAGGTACAAAATAAAAGTTAAAAGTAAAAAACTCAATATACCTCAAAATACAAATATATATAAAGTTATAAACACAGAAAGAGTGTTAGAAGAAAATAGTATTTGTCAACAATCAACTCAGAAATATTTCCAATGATTGCAGAAAGTAAGTTTAAATGAATTGAAAATTGCTATGGAACTTAAAAGTGGGCTATCTTCTGTGTCCACCGAGGAGAATCGAACGCCTCATTTTGACATTGTAAATCTGTAGACTTACCGCTGTCCCACCGTAGAACTTAAGAAATCATTTCTGAATGTCAAATTTAGAAATACTAGAAAACGGAGAGTATATTTACATCTTATAAAGTCCTCACCACAAATGAAATTTCCAGAAGAAACAATAATTCTCACCTGCTAAGAAAAATTAAAACCAAAACGCTCTGGTCCTCGTCGTATTCTAGTTTTTACGAATGATAATTTTATTAGAGGTGAGATGGGAGAAAATGGAATTATAGTAAATAGAATAAAAATAAGTACTTAATTCTTACAATTACTAGCCCTGTTGGCCTGGTGTAGTCAAATGATTAATGTGTCGGATTGTGGATCTGAGAGTCCATGTATCATAATTCATGACACTATAAGTACTTAATCCTTACAATGACTAGCCCTGTGGGCCTGGTGTAGTCAAATGATTAATGTGTCGGATTGTGGATCTGAGAGTCCATGTATCATAATTCATGACACTATAAGTACTTAATCCTTACAATGACTAGCCCTGTGGGCCTGGTGTAGTCAAATGATTAGTGTGTCGGATTGTGGATCTCAGGGTCCATGGATCATAATTCATGAAACTATAAGTACTTAATCCTTACAATGACTAGCCCTGTGGGCCTGGTGTAGTCAAATGATTAGCGTGACGGATTGTGGATCTGAGAGTCCATGTATCATAATTCATGACACTATAAGTAGTTAATACTTACAATGACTAGCCCTGTGGGCCCGGTGTAGTCAAATGATTAGTGTGTCGGATTGTAGATCTGAGAGTCCATAGACCATAATTCATGATACTATGAGTTCTTAAATCCTCACAGTTACTAGCCCTGTGGGACTGGTGTTATTAAAAAAAAAAACAAGCGGTACAGTTATTACTGAAGATAATAAAGAAAGTTATTAATGGAGATAAATGAAAAGTTAACACCTTCAAATACTATTTACAGATGAATTAAAAATAATTAAATATACTACAGTTGAGATGGGTTTATTCTATGTCTTTTGCCCATCACAACAGTAACACCTTTTATGAAACTTCTAACAGTCACTACAGTAATACCCTTTGTGAACTTCTAACCAATCACAACAGTAATACCCTTTATGAAACTTCTAACCAGTAACAACAGTAATACCCTTTATGAAACTTCTAACCAATCACAACAGTAATACCATTTATGAAACTTCTAACCAATCACGTGATTGGTTAGAAGTTTCATAAAGGGTATTACTGTTGTGATTGGTTAGAAGTTTCATAAATTGTATTACTGTTGTGATTGGTTAGAAGTTTCATAAAGGGTATTACTGTTGTTACTGGCTAAAAGTTTCATAAAGGGTATTACTGTTGTAATTGGTTAGAAATTCACAAAGGGTATACTTTTGTGATTGGTTAGAAGTTTCATAAAGGGTATTACTGTTGTGATTGGTTAGAAGTTTCATAAATGGTATTACTGTTGTTGTTACTGCTTGGCATTTTCATAAATGGGATTACTGTTGTTACTGCTTGGCATTTTCATAAATGGGATTACTGTTGTGATTTGTTAGAAGTTTCATAAATGGTATTACTTTTGTTACTGGTTAGTAGTTTTATAAAGGGTATTACTGTAGTGATTGGATAAAAGTTTCATGAAGAATATTACTGTTATTACTGGTTAAAAGTTTCATAAAGGGTATTACTGTTGTAATTGGTTAGAAGTTTCATAAAGGGTATTACTGTTGTTACTGGTTAGAAGTTTCATAAAGGGTATTACTGTTGTAATTGGTTAGAAGTTCACAAAGGGTATACTTTTTCTATTTTAAACTATGCTTACGACATTTCCTTTGCCTAATGCACACCTTTCTTCAATCGGTGTATAAATGAATGTTTGATAAATTTCTGAAATAATGGTTTTTACAAAGACTCGCGTGGTGTATTTCTTCAGTTAGATCAAATTTAAAGTTGTTGTTGAAATTATCTCAATACATTTCTAGGTTCCTCCACCATCTCAATTCAACAACAGTTTTTAACCGTTCAATCTCTGTTACAGCTGTTAAACAAAAGCTAATATAAGTTGAAAGTTGTTGTTGAAATTATCTCACTACATTTCTCGTTTATTTCACCATCTCAGTTCAACCATCCTCTATATGTTAACCAAATGTCAATATAAGTTGAAAGTTTTTGAAATGAACTCACTACGTCTACATCTATCTTCACCACCTTTATTCAACAAAAGTTTTCAACTGTTCACTGTCTGCTGGATCTTTTGAACAAATATCAAGATTACTCACAAACAAGGGCGCCCGCAGGAAGGTGAAAGGGGGTCACTTGACTCCCCCCTGGATTTTCAAAAAGAAAATAAATTATTCTTCTATGTTATTGGAAAATCATAAGGTATTTGTATTTACAGGGGTATTAACAATAGTATGATTAGTATCTAAATTCTTTTTATTTTCCGTTGATATAGTAACTTAGTAGCTATTTTAATCGAATCATAGTTTTATATTTATTCAGCCCGTGCCAGAAAAATGACGACTTCCAGTATTCCATAGAAGAAAACTATTTCAATTTCATAATTTTTTCAAACTTGAGTTACTTGACCCCCTTAATTTTGTTCCTGCGGGCGCCTTCGCTCCCAAAGATATAAATAGACAAGATAATCGACAAATACTTCAACATATAATTCGATGTAGAGCTGAATAAACTATGTTCTTATGTTATAACAAAACACTTCGTCAGTCCATTTTGTCAAAACTATAAGAAAATCTTATTTTGATTTTAAACAAAGCTTTAGAAAAAAGAACATTATAACAAATTAATGAAGATGAAACATCCTCGAAGTAACTATGGTGTATTCCATAGAATGGTCAAGTGATGCAGAAATACAGTAGGTTGTAATTACAAACTAAATTATTTTGGTTTCTTCAAAATATTTTTGTTTCCAATTAACGTTTACAATTTTTGTATAAAAAAGTCTACTTATACGACTTGTTTGTTTTATAACAAAGCCTCATTCGACTATCTGTTGAGTCCATTGCGAGGAACCGAAGCCCGGAATTTAGAGTCGTAAGTCCGTGAACTTACTGCAGGCTTATAGAGAGGACAGTTATACGATTGTTCAAACTTGAAAAAAAAAAAACCTTTATAATTCAATATTGATGTAATTATGTTAAATTAACTCCATTGTTTTAAAAGTTATTTTTCATAGCCTGAACTAAACATACGCTACACAATTAACTTATGCTGTTTTAATACCCAAGGCTTTCGCATACAACAAGACAAAAATCTTACCTGTATTGAAATCGTGAATAACTAATAGTCTCTCGCCTCTTTCTTGTCCTGTTTTGAGACCAAGTCGAGGGTCTTTAGAATTGTACTCAATTTGGGTAATATTGAATTTGTAATCGTAATAAATCTACAAAAGAATTAATTTGCCCAGTTAATAAACATGCTGGAATACTGATGATTAGTTTTAAATTATGAAAGTTTATTAATTGTTAAATTTATAAGACGGGACACTACAACTGATATAAATGTTCTCTTTATCTAACAAACTTCTCATATTAATCTCAACAAATAAAAAAAAACTAAGTAAATAAATAACTTTTTTTAAAGAATTCTCGAACAAGACTATTAATATAGTCAACCAGTCCCGTAAACTGAAAAGTAACATCACAAGTAACGAGATAAAATCCATTTACAATCTGAAAAAAGACACTAACCTTAAAATTCTAAAAGCTGATAAAATCAACACCACTGTAATCATGAACATCTCAGAATACATCGACAAAATGAACGACGTCCTTTCCGATAAAAAGAAATTCAAAGCCATCCCAAACAACCCAACGAATACACACAAAAAACAACTAAACAGAAATTTATTACAAATGAAAAATGATAATTTAATTACTGACGATCTTTATTTTTATCTACGTAAAACTGATTCACGCACACCACAACTCTGTGGCATTCCTAAACCACACAAACAGGACTGCCCCCTACGACTTATACTGTCCACGTACGATTCCTTCAACTACAATATTGGCAAATATATAGCCTGGGCTCTCACACCATATGTAACAACTGTAGGTTCATTTTTTAAAGATGACCTCAATTTCAAATATACACTAGACCAACCAAATTCTAAAGCCTTAATGGCTAGCTTTGATGTCGTGTCACTCTTCAGCGAAGTCCCGCCATTGAAGCTTGTAATATTGCACTTGATCTCTACATGACCCCAGAAAGTTGATCCACATCCCCAGCACACTTTTTGCTTCTCTCTTAGAATTTACAACAACCAAAACCAACTTCATTTTCAACAACGAACATTTCCTTCAAATACATGGTTTAAGTATGGGCCATCCTGTTTCACCCGTTCTTGCCAATATATTCATGACCCAGTTCGAAACACGAGCCATACATTCTGCGCTTCATCCCTCACTATACTGGTACAGATATGTTGATGACACTTTTGCTGGTTTCACTTCTACAGAATACACACTAACTTTCTTTGGACACATAAACTCCATTCATCCCAACATCAAATTTACCATAGAACACGAAAACAGTAAACAGTTATCTTTTCTTAACCTCAACATTATTAGATCGGACACACAGTTTAAAACCAAAATTCACCGTAACACAGACACCGGCCTCAACATCCCCTGGAATTCCGTTCATGACACCACACAAAAATCAATATACTGAAAAACCTCACAATTAAACTCAACTCACGAACAAAATTGATACTAACAAACCCACCAAAGAACATTACACTGCAGTTTACCTTTTGTCCCTGAAACCAGCTCAAGAATTATCCACACTTGGAAGAAAAATAGCCATTAAACACAAAATTCCCGTCAACGTCAAATTCTCTCAAAATCCCGGCCCTAAATTAAAATCGTTTCTAAACAAACATTATTTAGAATCCCACAAAACCAACGT